ATTACCCATTGCACCATCCGCACGTCCAAGATTACAGCAGCTGATATTCCCAAGCATTTACACATCTAGGTGCTTACTAGCATCGACGCAGCTTAACTTTGATGATCGTACCGGAGGCAGGGTTTCAATGTGATGCGACCGTAAGATGATTCCATAGGTATACTTAATTGGGAAAAGGATGATCTTGCGGAAAGTAAAAATATCAAGTATAAAATTTTCTAAGAATGAGGACACAAGATAAAGCTTTCCAAAACAGAAGCGATGATTTGGAACTGGAGTGAGAGCAGAGATTGAATCCCCACTGAATCCATCATGTGAATAAAAATATCCTCTATCAAATGTCCCAAGAAATAGGACTCAAGATAAAACTTTCAGAAACAGAAGCGATGATTTGGAATCGGAGTGAGAGCAGAGATGGAGCCCACCCTGAATCCATCATGAAAATAAAAATATCCTCTATCAAATGTCCCAAGAATTAAAATTCAAGACAAACCTTACCGAGACAGAAGCGATGATTTGGAATCGGAGTGAGAGCAGAGATGGAGCCCACTCTGAATCCATCATGAAAATAAAAATATCCTCTATCAAATGTCCCAAGAATTAAAATTCAAGACAAACCTTACCGAGACAGAAGCGATGATTTGGAATCGGAGTGAGAGCAGAGATGGAGCCCACTCTGAATCCATCATGAAAATAAAAATATCCTCTATCAAATGTCCCAAGAATTAAAATTCAAGACAAACCTTACCGAGACAGAAGCGATGATTTGGAATCGGAGGAGAGCAGAGATGGAACCCACCAGAATCCATCATAGAAATGAAAATATCCTCTATCCAATGTCCCAAGAATTAAAATTCAAGACAAACCTTACCGAGACAGAAGCGATGATTTGGAATCGGAGTGAGAGCAGAGATGGAGCCCACTCTGAATCCATCATGAAAATAAAAATATCCTCTATCAAATGTCCCAAGAATTAAAATTCAAGACAAACCTTACCGAGACAGAAGTGATGATTTGAATCGGAGGAGAGCAGAGATGGAGCCCACTCTGAATCCATCATGAAAATAAAATATCCTCTATCAAATGTCCCAAGAATTAAAATTCAAGACAAACCTTACCGAGACAGAAGCGATGATTTGGAATCGGAGTGAGAGCAGAGATGGAACCCACCCAGAATCCATCATAGAAATGAAAATATCCTCTATCCAATGTCCTAAGAATTAAAATTCAAGACAAACCTTACCGAGACAGAAGCGATGATTTGGAATCGGAGGAGAGCAGAGATGGAACCCACCCAGAATCCATCATGAAAATAAAATATCCTCTATCAATGTCCCAAGAATTAAAATTCAAGACAAACCTTACCGAGACAGAAGCGATGATTTGGAATCGGAGGAGAGCAGAGATGGAGCCCACTCTGAATCCATCATGAAAATAAAATATCCTCTATCAAATGTCCCAAGAATTAAAATTCAAGACAAACCTTACCGAGACAGAAGCGATGATTTGGAATCGGAGTGAGAGCAGAGATGGAGCCCACTCTGAATCCATCATGAAAATAAAAATATCCTCTATCAAATGTCCCAAGAATTAAAATTCAAGACAAACCTTACCGAGACAGAAGCGATGATTTGGAATCGGAGTGAGAGCAGAGATGGAACCCACCCTGAATCCATCATGAAATAAAATATCCTCTATCAAATGTCCCAAGAAAAAATTCAAGACAAACCTTACCGAGACAGAAGCGATGATTTGGAATCGGAGTGAGAGCAGAGATGGAACCCACTCTGAATCCATCATAGAAAATGAAAATATCCTCTATCAAATGTCCAAAGAAATAAAACTAAAGATAAACCTTTTCAAGACAGAAGCGATGATTTGGAATTGGATTGAGAGCAGAGAAGAAAACCCAACCTGAATCCATGATAGAAATGAAAATATCCTCTATCAAATGTCCCAAGAATTAAAATTCAAGACAAACCTTACCGAGACAGAAGCGATGATTTGGAATCGGAGTGAGAGCAGAGATGGAACCCACCCAGAATCCATCATAGAAATGAAAATATCCTCTATCCAATGTCCTAAGAAATAGGACACAAGATAAACCTTTTCGAGACAGTAGCGATGCTTTGGAATTGGAGTGAGAGCTGTGATGGAACCCACCCTGAATCCATCATAGAAAGGAAAATATTATCATAAATGAGACAGAAGAAATGAGAGCTGAGAAAACTAAAGAAAAAAAATAAACCTTTTCAAGACAAGATAAAAGACAGATGATTTGGAATTGGATTGAGAGCAGAGAAGAAAACCCAACCTGAATCCATGATAGAAATGAAAATATCCTCTATCAAATGTCCCATGAAATAGGACTCAAAATAAAACTTTCCGAGACAGAAGCGTTGATTTGGATTTGGAGTGAAACCTGAGATGAAATTCTTCTTGAATCCATCATAAAATGAAAATATCCTCTAAAAATGTTCCAAGAAATAGGACACAAGATAAACATTTCCGAGACACAGAAGAGATGATTTGTAATTGGAATGAGAGCTGAGACGAAATCCACGCTGAATCCAACATGAAAATGAAAATAACATCCATCAAATGTCCCAAGGAATGGACTCAAGATAAACCTTTTCGAGACAGAAGCGATGATTTGTAATTGCAGTGAGAGCTGAGATGAAATCCACGCTGAATCCATCATGAAAAAAAATCCTCAGTCAAATGTCCCAAGAAATAGGACTCAAGATAAACCTTTCCGAGACAGAAGCGATGATTTGAAATTGGAGTGAGAGCAGAGATGAAATCCACGGTGAATCCATCATGAAAATGAAAATATCATTTATCAAATGTCCCAAGAAATAGGACTGAAGATAAAACTTTCCGAGACAGAAGCGATGATTAGGAATTGGATTGAGAGCTGAGATGGAACCCACCCTGAATCCTTCATAGAAATGAAAATTTGCTCTATCAAATGTCCCAAGAAATAGGACTTATGATAAACCTTTCCGAAACAGAAGCTATGATTTGTAATTGGTGTGAGAACAGAGATGTTATCCCCGCTGAAACCCTCATAAAAATGAAAATGTCTTCTATGAAATGTCCCAAGAAATATGACTCAAGATAAACCTTTCCGAAACAGAAGGGATGATTTGGAATTGGAGTGAGAGCTGAGATGGAACCCACCCTGTATCCATCATAGAAATGAAAATATCTTCTATCAAATGTCCCAAGAAATAGGACTCATGATAAACGTTTCCGAAACAGAAGCGATGATTTGAAATTTGAGTGCTAACAGTGATGGAACCCACCCTGAATCCATCATAGAAAGGAAAATATCCTCTATCAAATGTCCCAAGAAATAGGACTCATGTTAAAGCTTTTCGAAACAGAAGCGATGATTTGTAATTCGAATAAAAGTAGTGAGGGTTCCTACTCTTAATCCATCATAAAAATTTAGAATTTATTGAAATGCATCATATACATCACTTACAACGAATTACGCAACCGTTCAAATTTGAGATCACCCCTGGTATTTTTTTAAATTGTCCCAAAAATTAGTTGCTTTGTGCTTTTCATAAGAGAAACTTATTATACATGGTTAAAATTGTCAGATATGATTTTTATTAGAAATTATATTATGACAAAAAGAAAAAAAACAACATTTCATGATAAAATTATGCTCTCGTCTAAATATCCTCCTTTAGGCTTGATTACCACAGCACAATTTTGGCATTCATTGCAAAAGTTTCTCATAGTATACGTTTGATAATTGATTCTTTTTTCAATGACTCTATTTTTCTTTTTTTCTCTCTTCTGTCACGTTCATCTAATGCTAATTCTGGCTAATTCTCCCATAACTAACAATGCACTTTGAACTGTATTGTTAGTTATGGGCGATAAGAAAATTGAAAATACAATACTCTATGCTAGGTGTAGTCTTGTACAATACCACACGATGCTACAAAACCAAACCAATAAACTAAAAACTCGTGTCATGCTTTTAACTAACCTTATTAAACCGAAATCTTCATATGGATGCCATGCAACTCTCTCAAGGATGTCTAATCTGCTAGCTGTCTGTAACCGCTTTCCTCAGATCAATCATTAAAAATGATTTTGAGTGGATGAAACCTGCAGGTCTTAGAAAGAACCATCCTTCATCAAACCTCGTTGATTTGCGTTACAGATTCAAAAACAAATATCTTTACCCAGTAACTGAAACTACATTAGTTGAAGACTTCCAACAGCAGCAACAACTGAAATGGATAGAGCTTGTAACTTAGAGAGAAAATAATGACATCATTAATCTATTGAACTTCTACACTACTTCAAAAAGAAGTTAGAACGGAAGCCACTATGAATACTGAAAAGAACAATAACAGCTAGTGGATGTGAAAATTTTATTTTCATGAAAAACTGTTCTGAGAGAAATTTCTTTTATGAATTTCAAATGAAAGTAATACTAATTGGTCAATGAATACCGAATATTTACAGTATTTATATTATTAGGACTATTGTCCTCATCTTTGTCGCCATATTTATAAAAACGTTTCGGCCGTTGTACGCTCCGGCCTTCTTCAGGTGGTTGGAATGTCAAACTTAAACCCTTTATTTCGCTCACTAGGGTAGACTGGATGTCAGTTATCAGTTATCTTCTGTTAATTTCCCTCTGAAAGTTCTCCACTGCCTTAAGCGGGTATTGAACTCGCACTCTTTGGGTCCTGTCACTGGATCTAACCAACGTCTTTATCCACATTGTATAAAGGCCGAAACGTTGTAATAAATATGGTGACAAAGATGAGAACAATAGTCCGAATAATGTAAATAATGTACATAATACCTCATCTCAGAAATATAGACAGATGCGGAATTCCTTATAAGAAAACTGTTACTCTTCCAAAGCCATTACCATTACATCTATTGTTTGCTAATTTAAACTGAAGAACCTTCTGTTGTTTTATCGGAAATGTAAAGATCATTACTTCTGTTGAATATTCGAG